AAACATCTATATTCTACACCTAATCAGTATGTTATATTGTTTTTGCTCTGTTTGGCCTTCCTAGATTCCTGGATTTGGACTACAGCTATTCTCAATTTTTTTTTAAGAATGAAGTTTGCAGTTAATTCTACACATAGTACAGATGAATGTTTACGTAAATATGTTTTTCAGTTAAAAGAAGAAAATGAGAAACTGAGGAAAGATTTAAAAGTATCAAACCAAGCAAGAGAAGAAGACAAGATAAGGTGACAGTGTATTACTACTGTAATCAAATCATGTAGAGATCAGTATGTAAGCAATAGTTTTATAACAATGATAATAATAAACTTAAGCAACAGAATGTTCTTAAAAGTAGGTTGAATTTGATCGTCCAGGTGAACATAGTCCTGAATAGGACTGTTGTTGTTTACAGTGACTGATGTTTCGACAACCTGTGCGGTAGTCATCTTCAGAGTCAAAGTGACTTTAATTCTGAAGATGACTACCGCACAGGTTGTCAAAACGTCAGTCAGTGTCAACAACAACAGTCCTATTCAGGACGACGTACACCGAGATGAACAAACTCAACCTACTTTTGAAATGACTCCTGTGTTCAAACCTTTCACAGAATGTATTTAATCAAAACAGATGAACATGAAATGACTCCTTCAAAAAAGGTAGTTCAACAGAACTGTCCATTTAATTTTGCAAACATTTTCGTCAGTCCTTTATGTTTACTGATCTCCTTGTCCTGCACAAGTTGAGCAGACCGTTGTGTGGTTAAAATAAAAATTTTCTCTTTTGGTAAGATATTAACTTGAAATTCGGAAAGGAATCCCATTTTGAGGAAAAATATTATATACTACAGGTGAAAAATTAATGAAGCCATTCACCCTCACTTCTAGTTTAATATACTCCCTGCTTTCCAGTCGCGACCCATCAAGCACTATAAGCAAGTCCGGATCTGTAATAACTAGTAATTTTTTTGACTAACTATTTCCTTACATTTCAAAAGGATTGTTAGTTTGCAAAAAAAGCTAACAAAGATTGAAAAAAGAGAAGCAGATGAGACAGCAGCCTTGGAAAATATGGTTCAGATGGTGGAAAAAAACCTGGAGCTCACTACAGTATGCATTTTTGCATTTCATCTTTATAACTCCCATTCCTTACCATTTTCACTTATGCTGGCTTGTTATCTAGTCTCATAGCTTGCATCAAGCATGAGTAAATAGCTTCACTGAAACCTTTACCTTGCTTTCAACTGAGTATAGAGGGAAAGCATTCAGTGTTTTTTAAGATAAAACAACACACATTACGTAGTCACACCAAACAAGTCTATGAAGCACTTAGATACAACATAGCTTGCTGTGATGTTGTGGCTCAAACCTTGTTGCAAATAATTTATAATTATTGGATGAAGTTGAGCAAAATATTGTGATTTGTCAGTGCATGGCGAGTAAATATTATTATTATTGATCTGCGAAACACTGACAAATCATGATATTTTGCAATAGCGAAGTTCAATAATTATTTTATCATTTGATGGCCCAGTTGGTTTTTACACCGTTATTTGCAGGTAGTTATTTGTAGGTAACCTTGTGGGCTCGCGTCCAATGAAAAGGAAGAAAACTTTACAAAAAACTATTTTTTAGGATCATAAATTTTGCTTATTTTGTTGTCTTCTGCTTTCTTAGCAAAGGGCCCTCAGAGCAGAGGCAACTGTTGCAAGACTTAAGGAAGAAATCAAAATATTGAAGGTACACAGAAAGACCATTTTACTTTTTTTATTTTAATTTTTGATGTAATTTTATCTAAGAAGAAGAAGAATTGCTGTCAGACTCTGGGGGGCGGAAAACCTGGCACAGGCTAGCTCATGACAAGCCAAAACATATCCAAATAAAACAACAGTTTTTCTGACAAACATGTAAAGACGCACTGGATAAAACCTCACAACTGCAGTTTAACATTATTACGACATTTTGATTTTCCGAATTTGCAAACCAAAGATTTGAAGAAAACCATATCAAGAACTTTGGAAAATAGTGTCTTGACATGGTGGCCTTGTACTTTCTATTCAAAGAGGCTTTCCACGTATACTCAATGTTAAATGCAGAAGGGAACCTATCCGGGGCACCTGGAGCCTAGCATTAACACTGGGTTCTTTTGCATTCATTAACAAACCAAAATAAGTCCTTTGCAGTGAAATAGTCACAAGGTGGACAAAGATGTTACTATAAAGAGCATACAACATCGTACTTTGCCTGTGACAGCCTGATCTATATACAGAAAAATGGTGCAGCAATGTAGTCGCCTGTGTTAACAATAGTGGCTATTCATCTACGTGGAGGAGTTTATGGAAGAAGCTCTTGGATCAGCTAGAAACCCACCCTCATTATGGTACAGATATGGGGATGACACTTTCACCAAACTACACTGCTGTCATGTGGAGAAGTTTTCCCAGCATCTGAACTCCCGAGATCCACACATCAAATTCACCTTGGAACCAGAGGAAGACGTTAAACTAACCCTTCCTGAAACTAACCATTAAACTAACCCCAACTGCACAGTATTCAGGAAACCAACTCATACAGATCAGTATTTAAACTTTAATTCCAACCACCATCTAGAGAACAAACTCCCCATCGCTCACACCCTACTTCACTGTGCAGATCACCAAGTGACCGAACCAGAGGACTGAGAGAAAGAGATCAAACATGTTCAGGAGGTCCTGAGGGCTTACGGTTATCCTTAATGGACATTCCATCTGCAGAGCGGATGAGACAAGATCAACATGGGTATGCCATACATGCGAGGTACCTCGGAAATCCTTCACAGAATGATTAAACAACATGGAGTCAATTTTTACCACAAGCCTTTCACCAACCTCAGACAACAGCTTTCACACACCAAGGATAAGACCCCAACCCTACAGTAGTGCGGTGTGATCTATCATGTAAAATACAAAGACTGCGATCATGATTACGTGGGAGAAATGGCTACGGCTCTGGGTACCATACTGAAGGAGCACCAAGCATCGTCTGCAGTCATGAACATTGCTCTATATCAGGTCATTCCATCACACCTGATAACGTGAAGATTATACTCTCAGAAGACAACACTTTTAAAAGGAAGATCAAGGAGGCTGTAGAGATCAAAACAAGACACCCCTATCTTAACTGTGATTGAGGGCTAGAACTACCAAACTGTTGTGATTAAATTTCCTGTCACGTGATCACCCTGAGGTCACGTGACTGCTATGTAACCATGCACCTCAGTTATTTTATTTTTGGAAAATTCCAATTCTTTATTTTCCTTTTCTCGATGTTTTGCTTGCTTTCCAAAAAGTTCCTTGTAACATAAGTGACAAAACAGCCTCCTATGAAACAAGAGACCAAATGACTGCATATTAATCTTTTGTGGAGGAAAACAAAGCTGGGGATAGTCGATCAAGTAAAAAAAAACAAACAACTGTCTTCCATTATTTAAACTTCATAAAACCTTAATCCACAATGACCTTTTTTTATTAATTTTTAATTTTGTGTCATCAAACCATGTTTGACAAGAATC